TTTCAATAGATTACACCAATTCCAAATAAATTACAAAATCAAAATAAAGGACACAATTATTGCACATACAAAATATCGCACACATTAAAATGAAAGAAATCTTTGCAATAAATAATCAAGTAAATAAATAAATCAAAATTCAAAATGCGCTTTGTTCTTTGGTGAACAACAAGACATATATGTATATAACAATTTCTTTAAACTTAAGTGGACACATGATAGGTCTACACTAGTAATATACAGCCAGACCACATTGTACATCAATGCTGTCTTAAGAGACAATAATTTATACCCAATTTTAAGTATTTTTGAAATTTAAATCCTTCAACTGATACTGGGCAGATCCAAATTGGCAGCATGGCTATTCCAGAAACATTAACAAACAGATTAACCTTAAGCCTGTCGACGGCAACTGATTCTACCCATGCAACCAGTGTAGACCAAGATCAGCTGGCACATCCGAGCCTTGTGGTCATGGTCTGCACTGTTTGCTATTCTGTCAACATATTATATAACTTGTCCTAATAAATATAGACAACTTTATTTAAGATTTTAACTGTGGTAAATGTAAAAATATCATACCTTTATGAAATAATAGGATCTTACCTACATGTATTTTTTTCTAGCAATGTTTTACAATATATACAATAGTTACATTTTATATACATAAACACTACAAACAAGACAATGTATATAACTTCTGATTATATTCATTTAAACACTGAACTCTAACAACTACGAATCCTAGCCTTTGTTGTATGCACAGCTAATTTTACTCTATTTCCTGTTTATATATCAATTTTGAATTCAATCAATTTTAAATAGATTTTTTGAATTCTGTTCCATCTATTTTTACTTTTAACTTTACTTATCCTTTATTGATACATACATATTGAAATTGTCTAATTCTTAAGTCATTATGTTGTTCTTATTCATGTAAATTTCATACCCAACTTGACTTTATCCCTAATTAAAACATTCATTTTAGAATTATTCAATTCTAAATACATTCTGTTCCAAATCATATTCAAGTTGACTTCCTGTTAATAGAAAATTTATTTCTAATTAATTTAATTCTTTTGTTGTTGTTGGATTTTTGGTCACACCAACACTGTAAAGGTCATATATCGACTTTCCATCTTTACTGGTGGAGGAAGATCTATGGTGATCCTCTGTGTGTTATTTCAGGCACTAGGGGGTGGGCATCATTAGATCAAGTGACCATAAGCTAGCCTAACAGCTTCCTCACATGAAACAATCCAAAGTTCCTAAAGGAATTAGAACCCACATTGGGTTGGGATTGGAAAGCAGATGATTTGAATTCATTGACCATAACCTCACAGCCACTGAGGCCACTCTCATTCAACTTTAAAAATGTTTTGATTTAGTATGCATACAATTGTCTATTGTTAAAGATGCCATAAGTATTACCGGAGCTGTATACAATCTGAACTTTCTGATGTCACTTCTGCAATAAAATCCCAAGACTTAAAACTGGTTTTGAGACAAAATTAATGAGAATTCATAAGCAATTATATCTAATATCAATAACTAGTTTTACAATATCAATACTTCTTGGCAAATATATAGAAAAAATGTTAAAATATTACAAAAACATTAAATGGCCAATGCAATATTTCTTAAAATTTCACAATATTTCATGTAAACATAATGGAAACATCACAGATAATTTAAGTAATATCAGCTACACATGGAAATATTCCAAAATTTACCTCTTTTTTTCCTCATTTTTCAACAAACTGATCACAGAGACTCATGATGAAAATTCATGAATTAATATCTGCCAAGAAAAAGTACAAATAATGATAACAAACAATGGTATAACCTTTACCCTGCCAGAGTCAGAAACCTTTCCTACAAGCAGGTAGTCATGCAAAACTTTACACAACAACTGTTAACTGACCAGTGTTAAATTTTTTATGTTGAATTCCCGAAAATTAATAATCAACAGTTTGCAAAATTATGAGCTGGACCAATCCATTAATTTTAAGGAACTCATTTTACCAAAGGTTTAACCATTTCACATTCCATCAAAAATGTCATATCAAAATGCTTATATTTATCTGCGTTTTAAAACCCATTTGAACAATAAATACACTTATAAACTGGACTAAATAACTTTGATGTAAATAACAAGTTCTAAAAATATCAAAGGAAAGTCTTGCAATAGTCTTATAAAGTGCACAGTAAATAAATTCATAAATAGTGTTTCAAGTACAATTTAACATGGGTGCATGACCATCATTCTTTTCCCACCACTTGACATTTAACCATTCAATATAGCCTGCTTTTAGAGTGCAAATTTAGAAAATTATGTTTACTAAGAGTTTATTTAAACTTGTGTAATAAGTGTAAACAAGAATATGCTTACAAAGAGTTTGTGTAAAAAAGAATCTCAAATCTCAAAATATGATAATGTCAATGATACAAGTAAAGAATAATCCAATGTAAACAAAGAGCACATGTATATAAGAATCATTGTAATCACAGTGCTTAGGAAAACAAGAATCATATATAAACAAAGAACTCCTGTAAACAAGAATCCTATGTAAATAAAGAATTTGTGTAAACAAAGAAATCATGCAAACAAAAATCTCAAATCTAAAAAAAGTTTCGTCAGTGATCTATGTAAAGAAGAATCCTATGTAAATAAAGAACTCCTGTAAACAAGAATCTTATGTAAACAAGGAACTTGTGTAAACAAGAATGTTATGTAAACAAAGAACTCCTGTAAACAAGAATGTTATGTAAACAAGGAACTTGTGTAAACAAGATATCAATGTAAACAAAGAACACATGTAAACAAGAATTATATACAAACAAAGAACTCCTGTTCACAACAATCATTTGTAAACATACTCTGAACTCAGGTTAACAAGAATCATGTGTTTAACAAAGAAATCAAGTTAACAGAAAGCATGGGTTTAACAAAGAACTCGTGTAAACAAGAATCATATAACTTAAAAAGAACTTTGTAAACAATGCGCTAAAAGATAAGTAGGCAATACTGTATATAGAAAATTCAGTAAAAAATTATGAAGGAAACTCATCAATATTTGCTAGATCAATAATCCTCTATTTTGTCATTCTCTACAAGATGCAGGAAACTGAGATTAAATGAAGAGACATAATGAGCAATTAATGCTGAAATTGCTAATGATATATTTACTGCTAAATTGCCAATCTACTTAATGGGCTGCTATAATTAACAAAGCGAAATTTTAATGAGTGTTTAAATCATGATATAATGTGATTATCCTTCCGACTTAAATCTATTTACGCCATATTTTAATGCAAGTTTACTGGAATACAGCAATTCTCATAAAACTAGAAGTTCCTGCTTTCTAATTAAAACCATTCCCAGAATGTGAAAGCAAAGTATTCTGTCATAGAAAATAAGTAATTTCCATGCAACTCAGTGCTTTGCTAAGCATTTCTATTTTTTGTTAGTATGTTTTGACATATATTTACGCAGTAATAAAGTTGTTGAAATTAGTTTACATGTGCCTTTGTTTGTCATATACTATCCTCAATTATTACAGTGGTTTTACAAACACATGGAAATGAGTGTGCATTAGAAATAACCAATTCTTATGTACATTTCAGTCTTTTTCTTTGTTTGTATTTTCCTCATAACGTGATAATCAAGATTTAACAAGCTTTACATTTGACCCGCATCACGACAAAACCAACATAATGGGTTTGCGACCAGCATGGATCCAGACCAGCCTGCGCATCAGCGCAGTCTGATCAGGATCCATGCTGTTCCTTATCAGTTTCTCTACTTGTAATAGGGTTTGTAAGCGAACAGCATGGATCCTGATCCGACTGTGCGGATGCAAAGGATGGTCTGGATCCATGCTGGTCGCAAATGCACTATGTTGGTTTTGTCGTGACGCGGCTCATTTAATCATCAACCATGTATTTCAACCATAAAATTCTAAAATCACTCTGGTACAAAATGCAATCAAATGATAATGGAATATTACCATTAAATGACTTAAAACGTATATATCAGCACTATTACATTGAACAGGCATGCTACTTCCTCCTTTTTACCCTTAGTACAGCAACGTTCATGTAGGTGTAAAAGAGTATTAATCTTGTGCACTGGAAACAACAATGACAAAAGTGCAACTTGATGTTGAAATATCAAAATAGCTTTATAAAGTCAATCAAAAGCTAAAATGTATTTCACAATCCATTTTCATGGCCAAGAGAATAGTCAGTCTGCATGGATGTGCAAAGAATTAGCTGGCCTGGCTCTGTACTGGTGGCCTGAACAGATTTTATCACTGAATGGGATTTCAGCAAATTAAAATAGCATATTTTCTGTAAATCTCATCTAATTATGATTTATTTAAATATACACTTGTATCCAGTTCCAAATCTGTTACTTTACCTTCTCAATTTTTAACCTTACTCGACATACAATCTAAACCATCAATTTTATACTTTTAAACCTGAACGATCCTTTTTATCTGGTCTCATTGGGAACATAATATAAAGCATATAAAAGGACAGATTCTAATGAATATTAATTTTTCCACTTAACCTCATTTTGATATTTTGAGGAAGCATTCAAAAAAGCTTACAAATGGGTCTAAAAACAATTTGGTTAAATTCAGATTAAATTATTTTAAATAATCTAAAGCAAAAGTGAAACATCAAAGTAGCCCTCTAAGGCATTTTTGTATAAAATCATGGAAATAAAAACCCCAAGGATATCTAATGAATCCATGTACCAAATCACCCTAAATAACAACTTGTATTTTAATAATACATAATAGGTAACAATTTTCATCAAGTTGTCATTATTAAGACATTTGAGCCGCGTTACGACAAAACCAACATAGTGCGTTTGCGACCAGCATGGATCCAGACCAGCCTGCAAATCTGCTCAGTCTGATCAGGATCCATGCTGTTCCCTTACCAACTCTATTACAAGTAGAGAAACTGATAGTGAACAGCATGGATCCTGATCAGACTGCGCGGATGCGCAGGCTGGTCTGGATCCATGCTGGTCGCAAACGCACTATGTTGGTTTTGTCGTGACGCGACTCATTTCAATTTACCAGTGAGATATAAAGGATATCACTCACTGTATTCCTAGCTTTATTTCTCCCCTGTTTAAAAGATTAGAAAATAATTAATGCTGATAAGAATCAATATGTTTTCAAGTTATAGTCTTTGTTCTTATTTCTTTGCATTCTTTGTTCTTATTTCTTTGCATTCTTTGTTCTTATTTCTTTGCATTCTTTGTTCTTATTTCTTTGCAGGTTTGTGACAATAAGATTATATAGAAAATTTCTCAATATGAATTCTCAATGAGGTATATTTAATATTCTAGTTTCATAAAGCAACAAAAGAAAACCTACTATATGAATGTGGACATTATTTCAACTCCTTTTATTTCAGGCACAAAAAAGTGCAAATTTAAACAAACAATTTTGCAAGTAAAAAAAATTATCCATTGTACAAGTTCATTGTGAACATTTATATACATATAAAAACCAGCTATGACTTTATCAAATTCTAAGCTAGTCCATCTTCTATACTGTTCTTTTAAATGAATTCCCCTTGCCATTTAACATTTGGCACTGGGTATTTCCATCGCACAGACATCTTTCTGAAATCTGTAAGTGTTTCTTCAAAGTCATAAAAACCAAGGTTGTCCAAAACTTCATACACACCTGCCCGACCTCCAACCTGTAAAATGAAGTTAATAGATTATTACAAGAAAATTTATACAATATACTTATATACATAATATACATAAAATATCATTTATTTCTAACCCTATGATGAAAAGACACACAAAAAACTGTAACAGTTGTTTACAGCTTTTATAAAAAAAATTATGAAAGCTGAAAAATCCTTAAAATAACAAGAGCTGTCGGTAGGACAGCAACGCTCGATTATTCTTAGTGGTTGATAGTAAAAAAAATGCTTGATACAGTTACCACCTCCTGTTTACAGGTTGGGGTCATGATGGTGAACAAGTGTGCAAAGTTTCAAAGCCATATGTCAATGGACTTTGAAAATATTTGAACTATTACAAAAACTTTAACGTAAATTCTAAGTCAAAAAAGGGGCATAATTCTGTCAAAATGCTTGATAGAGTGTCCTCCTCCTGTCTACAGGTTTGGGTCATGATGGTGAACAAGTGTGCAAAGTTTCAAAGCCATATGTCAATGGACTTTAAAAATATTTGAACTATTACAAAAACTTTAACGTAAATTCTAAGTCGAAAAAGGGGCATAATTCTGTCAAAATGCTTGATAGTGTTACCTCCTCCTGTCTACAGGTTGGGGTCATGATGGTGAACAAGTGTGCAAAGTTTCAAAGCCATATGTCAATGGACTTTGAAAATATTTGAACTATTACAAAAACTTTAACATAAGTGACGCAGACGCGGACGCCGACGCTCGGGTGACTACAATAGCTCTACTTATTCTTATCGAATAGTCGAGCTAAAAACTGTCAGTTATTATGACATGGTAATCAGTGAAATAATGTTAATTCTAACACGACCCGCATTTTTCACTATTGAACATAGAAGAACTGAACAGTGTGTTATTATGCTATAAAATCACTGTAAGACATTCTATATTTAGACATGTGACGTAATCATTATACACGTGACGTAACCACTAAAAATGTGACGTGCTGAAAATAAGTACAGACACAAATTAGGCGCAATTTAGCTAATTATCATGTACGGGCAGCATTTATTTGTTGATGTCATGTTAGAATCGAAATAATATATCCAAATCAGTGATTTTATTGCTTGATAACATCACTGTTTGTTGTTCGGATGCGCATCATTATATCACTCTACGCTCTCATGATATAATTCCCCGCATCCGAACTCCAAACAGTGATGTTATTGAGCAATAAAATCACAGTTTGGGATATATCATTTCTTAAATAATGGATACTCAACTAACAAAACTAAACAAAATATTTCTAAAGAACAAATAAAATAATTATATATAGCCTATTTAAAAATACAACTAGCTACAATTTCCAAAGACAATGACATTCACTTTGTACTCTTAATGGTTGTGTGGTGACTTGTGTGGGGGAAAAAGGATTTTGATGTCAAAATCTCTGGAATATTCTAAAAATCAAAGTAGAACATATCAATTACAATGCATTATAAGCAAAGTAAAAGCATAAAACAAAATTTAATTTAAACCAGTGGAAAGTGAGTTGTACAGACAAAGTTCAGACAGCAAGTCTTTCACATATCGCATCATGCATTGACATATGATGCACTATAGATCTGCCACCCTTAGGGATATTAAAATGGTACCAGTCAATAGTAATGTGAACCAGATATATGTCACATCTCCAAATGATTCTTGGGCACGAACAATCTACTGTACAGAATTGACTTAATGCATCAATAAACAACTTGATTTAATTTATTCAATAGCTAGCAGCCTTGCAGGGTCCTAAAGTCATTAGGTTTATATATGCATGATTTCACACAATTATTCTGTCCATATAACATGCATTCAACTGGGAAATAAAAAACATAATGTTTTTGCATCGTAATAGTCAATTTACATATTATCAGTACACTTGAGGTGATTCTGCTCTGACAAAATAAGGTCATCACATGGCATACCAGATCTTTATTATTATGACATTTAACTTCCCGTTAGCTTTTTCATTTTGTGGAACTGTCCATTACTAATTTTGATAACAAGATGGAAATTCAAAGTTATTCAGTCAACTATACATAGCCTGTTTAAACTGCATGGATGTGCAGTCTGGCTTGACTCTATATTGGTGGCAAATGCTTATTACTTTTGATTCCATCAGGGTAAGATTTCACTTTGCTTGGAGAAATATGTAATCTCCTACTATTATTTATATGGTGCTTAATTTTGACACAATATAATGGAGTAATATTATGTACTTTCACTAGGTGATCATCTGATTATGCAAAATATGATAAAACTGTTAATGAGACATTGTTATTTGTTGCACAGTCTTGTGTCATATATCTCAACTGCAGTAGCTATTTTTTTTTATAATAATAATAGCCTAACAAAAAGATGCTTACCCATATTTTGCAAAACTAATGAGGGAAAGTAGAACATCCAATTTTAAAACTCTGTGATTTGACTCCATTAAATTCATACCCCAACTAAATATAGAGGGTGTAAATATTTATAGAGATAGGCCAAGGATTAGGAAAAATGGGCCACCCTTTTGTTACTTTCTTTAGATGTATAAAGGCCATAGTGCCTAATATGCTATTGTTTCAGACTGATACAGTAGGGAAGACATAAAAATAAAACAGATCATAGCACTATGATAAAGTATAAGTAAGTGTGATAAAGATAAAACTTATGATAATATTATCCCCACTATTAATTTTACATGTCATGAATTCAAGTAATCAATGAATTAAAGTTCAAGTTCCAACCTCTTTCATCCATTTACTGAAGGGTCGTTTCCAGTGTGTGCTTGCATCACAGTGTAGATAGGCATTAAACAGTATAAGGTAAACATAGCGTTCTAGGAACAGAATAGACTGGCACAGTATCTGTTCCTTGGCATGCTCAGTTTCACATTTCTTCAACTGGAAAAAAAGGTAAGAAATGTCAATATAAAAATGTGATCTAAAGAATCTTTGCTACAACTGATCAGCTCCTAGTTGCTATTGGTTACCAGTACTAAGTCACTTAAATAGTCATCACCAGTACTGATATATTGGCTTCTCAGCATGAAAATATAAACTAATCCATCTAAATTGTTCAAGAACAACAGTAATAGACATACACATAATCTAAATCATCAAAGAAAAACAAGCAGTGTGCCTAGGACTGTAAATTGCCATGCTTATCTAAGCCTGTATCCATGGTAAGATAAATGAGCCGCATCATGACAAAACCAACATAATGGGTTTGCGACCAGCATCCGCGCAGTCTGATCAGGATCCATGCTGTTCGCTATCAGTTTCTCGTCTTGTTATATGGTTCGTAAGCAAACAGCATGGTTCCTGATCAGACTGTGCGGAAGCGCAGGCTGGTCTGGATCCATGCTGGTCGCAAACCCATTATGTTGGTTTTGTCATGACGCGGCTCAAATGCACAAAGTCTTCAATTTGAAACACAGCTTCATAAAATAGTACATTGAAAGTAAGGCATACAACAATAGTGTTTTTTTTTTTATACTGGTACAATAGGGCTGCCATTTCAAATGGTACAATAGGCCTGTCCTTTTTAACAGGTACATTTATAGGCCTGACATTTATATATTGTTACAATTGGCAAGACAAAATGCCTGTGTCATTTATACTTATACGATAGGCTAGAAATTTAAATTGGTACAATAGCCCTGACATTTATAGTAGTTCAATATGCCTGTTGTAACTGTGATCACAAATATTTAGTTCATATAAACAATGGAAATGTTCAAACCTGAAAATCAATGTACCTGCAGAATTTATTTCTGAATTGAACCAGATAACTTATACTTTTAAACCATGTGGGAATCACAAAGCATTGATCATAAATTTCACAAAACGAATGACTTTTTTTCCCTCATCTCATTATAACAGATAAAACTATCTCATTTAACACAAGCTTTCTGAAAACTGAGATTTAATTTCAAAATTTCTGGACAGATTAGAGCAGCATCATCCTGGAGATTTAATTAATGGCGTTAACGAATAGCGCCTACTATGACAATGAGATCAAAGAAGTTTAAATCCCCGAACACCTCTGCCTCATTAGTCAGTCTGCCTCTCTCAAGTTAATTTCTTTTCTTTGATTCACAGCTCTGCAGAAGCTTTCCACAGTTAATACCTGATAGTTAATAACTTGTCAGTTAATAACTGGAATTAATTTTGTCATCAAGAGAGCTAGCTATAGTTATCACCGTTCACTGCTAATAACCTGCATCAAGCCGACAGCTTCTATTGTAGGCCTACCTCTAGAAATGTATGCCTTAACTCTTTTGGATAAAAGATGATATTAAATCTCATCTACCATAAATACAGAGCTTTCCATTGTTAATCATAGTTAATGATGAAGAAAATACCAGCAAAAACAACATGTTTATTCAAATGTTTGTTGTTCATATGAAACATTTATCATAAGTAACCTTTTAGTATGAAACACTTACTGCATAAATAGAAGTTTAAGTATAAAAATGCACCATTGATTTTTTTTCCTGTGAAATACCTTCCATATAAAAGTTATTCAAGATAACATTTTTGTATGAGACAATTACCTCCATAAAATGTAGAAAATGTTACTACGCATGTATTCCATAGAGACACTTATCCAATAAAATGTACTCAAGATAGAATAGCTATTCTGTATGAAATAGTCAATATAAAATGTACAGAATTTTTTTTTTAAAATATCAACAAAAATATACCAAAGATATCTTTTTACATGTAAAAATAACAAAGATAACTTTTCATTAAAAAATTTCCAATATAAATATCCCAAAGATAACATTTTATATGAAACACTTCCAATATCAAAATATTATAAACATAACTTTTTTCAAATCAACCAGTTACCCTAGGAAATGATTTGACAGCAATGCTGTTGACTGTTTCAAGAATGTATCTATATAAACTTACTCTATTATATGTAACAAAGATAATTTCCCTCATGTGGAACATCATAGGGGTCATTGTGTTGAATATTTCGTCCAGTATGAAGTCCACTTCTCTCTTCACTTGTTGACCATTTGGTAACATCCTTACCAGCTTCTGTACAATCTGTTAGTTTTAAAAAAGAATGTTACCTTTGTCATAAAATATGCCTACCCGTGACAAAAGCCTTTGGTGAAAATATTGGCATATGGATAAAAAAGGTGTGAGTAGGGAAAAAAGTTTGACTATTTCTAGCACTGGATAGAAAAAGTTCAAGGAAGGCAATTATTACAATGAAAAATGTACATGCGACTAAAATTCTAAGCAAGAATTAAGACTCTGTCTGATGTACATGAAATTATAGTGGGTCCTGAATTTGGTAAAGGGCGAAGAATATAATATCATGTAGACAATTTTTCCTTGCCCTCCCTGCATGACCTTGACCTATAACAGACCTGGTTTATAGGCGTGACACATCCCGTGATTGTGAAAATTTATATCAAGTAATAGTCAAATCCCTCTATGCAGAAGATAGAATGTTGACAAAACTGAGCCCTGTCTGCCAAGTTTGATGGAAAGTCCCTTAATTGATTTATGTTAGTATGTAGGAGATGTACAGTAGAATCATTTACACCCAGCTGATCACCCTGCCAATAGTCAACTATTTGACCAAAGTACTAAAAAATACTGATGGAAGAGGATTTTCCAATCTTGAAAAATGTTTCATTCATAGCTTTTATGAACGACAATTTTTTTAAAGGGGGTGGTAAGTCTGAAGGATGTCATAATAATGCTTCTTCATTTTACAATCTGACCCTGATCGTCACAGTATCTATGATATGCCATGCTACTGCACTCACAGATCTCCGGAATAAATTGTTACAGACAGTCTATATAGATTGACTAATAGGGAAATGTAGTAGTTTCCCATGAAAACATGCACAAATCTATTTTCAAGTATTTCCATGAAATGGCATTCAAGAAATTGATTACTTTTTACCTACAATGTAATGTATTTTTGAAAGTTTTCTGATTTTCTCAAATGGCATAAAACTATATTTTTACATGAATATTTTAGCTCTTGGGCCTTATATAATGCAGATGCCTAATAAATGCTTTAATTCTGTATAATTAAATCAGAAACACAGACAAATATTATCTAAATATGATATCTTATATTAAACAAGAAGACCGAGGATATGTTTTCCAAGCAGAAATATTGACTGACTATTGGAAGACCTAATCCGATCCAGTGCAAGATACAATATATACTATATACACCAAATTTAACTTGTTGTCAAGACCATAATTGCAGCACATTATTGCGCTTATTTTATCTGGTACATTAGTTTTCAGAACGAGTTCAAAAGTTCAGCATTTTCTTTCCCTTAATGAGATCACACAATAAGACTGAGAAAATAAGGCTTTAAAATGATTCCCGACTCATACAATGTCATTTCTATGACCTGGTTCATATTAGTATTTCTCTTCCTATTTTTTTCTTCAATCAAGCTCTAATATTTACGCATCTTATTCTAATCAGATCATTCAACAAAACTGTGTTTATATAAGGTTTAAGCCTGACTATTTGTCATTTCTATATTCTAAGATTTTGCTCTTTTTTAATTAAATTAAAATGCCAGATTATATCTATAAGATGAAAAGAGCCACTTTAAGTGCTATATAAAAAAACACTTAGCATTCAATGCTGCGATGATATTCAGCAATGATTACTAATATCTTATATAATTATTAATAGGAGAAATTGGAAAATATAAAATAGGATATGAAATTGTCTTCAGGGAGCATGTTCTAACCAAAGGGGAGATGTGGTCTACTAGTGCTTAATGAGTGTGTCTCTCAACCCAAGGTTCCTAGGTTAGAGCCTTCCTGGGTTCATGACCCGATTATATATTTCTTTTACGTCACCAGTACTGGATACTTTTAGGAAGCGTACATGATAGAGATTCAAAATAAACTACAAGCTTTCATTGAAATTAAGCTTAAACAAATAATATTTAAACTAACCAAAAAAATTGAACACATGACTCTTGCCTCCAAAGGTAACTGGCACTTAAGCAAGATAATCAAGGTAAAGATTTTAATCTATATTACACACTGTACTTACTAATAATTTGTATCTTAACCTTTACAAATCCAATTTCCCATTTGCAAATGACATTGTTGCTTATGCAAAATAGCCTAAGAAATGACAAAAATGAATGATTTTTGATTTTTGCATTGAGTAACTATTTATTACTTGGCAGCATGCAATGGGAACACTATTTTGCCAGAAAGTGCTTATAAAATGACATTGCATGTTAAAATCTAAAAGGATGACATTTGAATGGAACCCTAAAATTAAGGTGGAAAGGAAACAATCAATTCTGTACAACAATCCATTAAAATTTTGTAATGGCTGACTCGATCATCTGTATAAAGCAGTTGCTGCTCATTTTGACAGTTAGCTACAACAATTCAATCCATTAAGGTGTTGATGTTCCCACATTATCATCAACATGTGTCAAGTATTACAGCATTAACTTCAAACACAAATATAAATGGGCGTATTAACTTGAAATGGAAACAGATAAAGAACATCTCTCTGAACAAGATTTATGTGATAGCATCAGTCATAAAACATATAATAAAAGAGTGCTGCACGAAATGTCAATCTTACAATTTTGTGTTAGAGATGACATAAATATTCTTTTCAAACTTTTTTAAGAAATAAATTCCAGTCAGCAGAATATTGTCAAAATCATATCTGTTTATTTAATGCTTTTTTTGTGGATTAATAATTGATTAGTTATGAGAATACTATTTTTGAAGCTCACTCCATGAAATAAAATTTGATCTTACATAAAGAACCTAACAAATACCGTTTATAAAATAACAGCTGTCAGAGGAGCTTAATCCACTCTCTTCAATGCTGGATTATAGTATAATGTACATTTTCTGAATAAGAAGATAATCATTCTGAAATAGCAGTCACATTGGCCTTGGCTGATAGTGGCTAGCAGAACTCATCACAATGCATTCATATATCAAGCTTTAATGCAATTATTTAAATCATTGACAATAAACAAAAACTTAATCATTTTTTTACAAAGGTCAACCATTATAAACATCTACCAGTGGATTACAAAGGTCAATCAATCCTAAAGCCTATAAGTGTGCTACACAGATCAACCAATTCAAACGCCTACAAGTGTGTACCAAGACTCAAAGCAATATACATGTATTGCTAATGTTGATGTAACATTTAAGGCTTTGTCATATAGGTCATTTAGTCTTAAAGCAAGGAGCTCTAATATCATTCTTTCAAAATCAAAATATTCATGACAAATTCATAATGGCAAGGATTTATAAAGCTAATGAAATTTTGAATTAAAGGGACCAGGTACAAAACTTATTTCAGTTAGTGCTGTTTTTCATCAACCATTGTTGAATAACCATGTTGAGAATTCAAAATGGAATTGAAAGTCTATTTTAGACAGACAAATATAATGAAAAACATACATTTATTATTACATGTTCATACTTACAATGAATTCTCCTTTTGTATACTGAGCATTTGGACAGCTTATTCGTTCTTGTTCACCTTTCTGGGAGCCTTTTGGGAAACCCTGTAATATAACATATTAACATTAAATAAAGCATTCTAAAAATTACATTTTGTCCAAAGGACACAGATTTGCCCATATTAAACTGTTTTGTCATGAAATATTTTGTCAGTCAAGCAACTATATCTCAAGCCCCCTTAGTGAAGACATGAAAAAGGTAAATATACCAAATCAACATTATAGAATAAATTAACAAAACTTATTAACATAACTAATTTTGAGCCTTTTGTTATTAAAGCAATGCAGTTGCCTTGGTTTTGTAATTTGAAACTGATTTTATGAATTTTGACCCTAGTCAGTTCAAACCAATGTGAAGTTTATGCTGGAACTGAGTTTTATGCTTTTGTGTAAAGGTCTCATTTTTTGAAATTACTTTACTTTCTCAACACTTGTGCTATAAATCTGAATTTCTTATACCTTCTGCATAGAACAAGCACAAAATATGACTATTGTACAATTATGTAAATAATGTATATTTTTTAAGATGCTGCAATATGCACAAGTCTGGAATAAAATTTCATTTTGTTTTGTTTCCACATGCTGTAAGAAGAGACACAAATACTGCCAGCTGATAAATTGAATATTTTGAAATCACAATAGTCTAAATTGACAGTAGACAATTAATAAATCAAGCCTTGAAATTAGAAGCATTCCACAATTACCAAAACTTAATGAAGGTTGAAAGCATACCTTCATATGGCACAATGTGAGACCAGCCACAGCCATGGCAAATGTTGAGCGACTTTTCCCCGTTCTACAGAAGAACACGAAGGCTGTACTTGTATTGTTCTTTAGACGTTCTTGTTTGCAGTGGTTACATACAACCTCCAATAGGTGGTCAATATCCTGACATATACATGAACATTTATATAATATAAACTTTTCTTGTTTTGATTAAAAGGCAAAATGAGATTCTTTATCACAAACTTGAATAACTAAGTCATTTGGCTTTAATCAAAATGGCTAAAAATAACTTATATATTAAATGATGATCCACATTCAAAGTCTATAAAGTATCATGAGCAGCTAAACTTAAGTCAGTACTTTTAATATTAAAGTTACATAAATGCCCATCCAAGTATAAATAAACTTGACATTTTGCCATTATTATGTTTCATTTGATATTTTACAATGAATAAAAAACAGACTAATAATAATCCAGGTAACCAAGAGAAATTTAGAAAAATATTGTTCAAAATGTATCAGTAATGAAGAGTGTGGCAGTCTTCTTATCATTCAGTGATTTTATATTGTATCATAAATAATTTCATTTATCAGTTTTATTGGTCAATCACCATAATAATTGTTAATCTTTTGAAATATATTACTAAATACTAGTTCAACTCAACTTGACAGCAAAAAATAAGCATAATATCGCTTTAATGCTACCCACCATAGATTTCAAAGTAACATATTATTTGTGCCACATATTAGTTTAAGTTATTGTAAAAATTAAGAGGTCCAAAAGCCAGAAAAGATCATCTTTTAAAATCTTTCATACAACTTGGGCACATAATATTGAAAATTATAAAGATAAATAAATAACTATACTCAACAATTAAACTGAAATCAATATTTTTTTATGATTCTTCCCAAATGAGTTAAAAATATTAAATTTAAAAAACCTTTTCATTTGTATGTCATTTTGCTCTATAAAAATGAATATTTTACACTAACGTTATGAAATTTTGAAGGTATCCGGACAATTCCCCTCCCGGACGATTCCCCTCCCAGTTAATTTGAATGTTTTTTCACAACCCGGACATTTTCCCTCCCGTTATTTTTTTACGGCGGACAATTCCCCTCCCGTTCTTTTATCAACCCGGACAATTCCCCTTCCGTTCTTTTAACAACCCGGACAATTCCCCTCCCGCTGTTGTCAGAGCGGACAATTTCCCTCCCGTGGCTATTGAATATATATAATTATTATATAATATTTTTTATTTGAAAGGTATATACATTTTTGCAGCGGCAAAACAATAAAAGAACATTTGATAAGAACAAAAAAACAATTAAGCTGTAGATTCTTGCAAAGAATATATTATGCACATGTTATAGTAAATTGAACTGTCATCATCGTCATTATGATTATAAAATCATATTCACCATATTGAATCATCATTTTGATTTTATATATGATTGAACACATTTGTAGGAATATTCTCCTTCATTTTTAATTGGTTTTGCAATCAAGGACACATTTAATTAAGGGCGGCAATGATTAAAGATTTTTTTATTGACAGTTTGTTTATCTTAAGCAGCGGCGGCAATGATTAAAGGCGGTATAATGTCACTTTTGTGAAATAATGATTGTTAAAAGTTCCGATCTTTAACAGTTTATTGTTAAGAGTAAAAACTGTCATCTTTAAAAAGAATGGTTATAGATTTTTTATACGCAATGTGAAAAAAACGGGAGGGGAATTGACCGCTCTGCTAAAAAATGGGAGGGGAATTGTCCGCTCTGCTAAATTAACGGGAGGGGAAAAGTCCGCCCTATTAAAATAACGGGAGGGGAAATGTCCGGGTTGTGAATATGTAAGGGGAATCGTCCGGGAGGGGGATTGTCCGGGATTCAATTTTGAACACTCAAGTTATTGGTATAGACCTACATCAAATGGTATAAAAAATATCAACAAAACAAATTAAAATGAAACAATTTCAGTCCTTTTATGACAAACAAAAAAACTTGGTCGAGTCCCTTTAATGTCAGGTCTAATGCTATTACTATGATGGACATTCAAGACGTTTATCCCTAAAGAATAATTTATAAATCAACAGCATATTAAATCGCAATAAATCATGCAATATCATTACTCTTTGCTACTTCTCTGAATAATTTTGAAATATGCATAATATTTTAGTGCTCCCATGCCTAAAATGCATCAAAATTAATGTCAATTCCAATTATGATGAAAAAATGATCCTGAAATTTCTAAATAACAATATTTGTTGTTTTAACTGTCATCATGTAATATTATCAAAGTGAGTGTGTAAAATATTTTATTCAATTTACTTTTTCAGTAGGGCTTTCATCACAGAGAAGGGGTATTCTATAATAAGACATATCCAGGGTTTGTAAACGTTGGTTTTCAGCAAGGTCAAGTATTGTATAAGCTTTGTGAACATCCCTCTCTATGGGTGGGTCTCCTAATTCATTGTATATCTGCAAGGAATAGCAAGAAGTTTATTATAGAATATGACAAGAGCTGTCTGTAAGACAGTGTGCTCAACTATTTTAAGTGCTTTAGAGTAAGAAAAGGGGCATAACTCTGTATAAAGGTAACTCAGGGTTATTGAACCTGTGCCCATCATGTTAAATAATCACAGAGAACAAGTTTTTAAAGTTTTGACTTTTTTTTGCGATACCAACTTACATGCCAAAACTTAACAAAAGTGTGATTGGGAAACCGCCACTGGGGAGAGTACAATAGCTCTCCATATTCTTTGAACAATCAAGCTAAAATAATATTTAAACAGTATCAATTCTCATCATTGCAAGCATTGAGTTATAAAATTTTTAAATAGGCAAAGTATTTCACTTGGCATCAGTTTGGTAAATTCTTGGCAGGATATCCAAAAGCTGACAACTGTTGTATATTACTTTATACAAGGTATCCCATTGCTGTCACAACATCATCATGGAGTATTGCAAAGCTGTCACAAGTTTTATTATTTATAAATTTGATTTTAAGTAACACTGACATTGTTGTTTGTATATTATATGTTAACTTTCCACCTTTTTCTGATTGAGGAAACCCCTGGTACCACAACTATGATTTCAGGGTTCAACTTCAAACATTTTAAAATTTATCTATATTCAGAAAGACATTTAATGATATGACAATAGCAGATGTAGAAAAAATCTATTTCAATATTTAACAGTATTCATTCATTTCTTATTTTCTGTTTCTTTTTATATAAGAGTTCTGAAAATATTCATTTTTTATCAAAATTCAAGATTTTTGTAATTTTTCTTTTTTATCAAAATTCAAGATTTTTGTAAATTTTACCTGGAATGTTTTGTATTTTCTGATCAGTCTCTTCAAGGACTCCTCTCTGTCCTGTAATGTACAAAAATGTTTCATTGAGAAAATGTTCTACTTGCATAGGTTGTTACAAACATACAAATCATAATATGTTAAATGAAAATTTTAACAGACTTATATGTCATGGAAAACTAGAAATGTGTCAAAAGGGCACTTATGCCATCATTTCATATGCTGTTACAGTGGCATTTTTACTTGCTTAAATATGCATATTTTATAAAATAAAAAATTTATCAGTATGTAATGTATACATAATAAGTTGCACAAATCTTTCTCTAGTTGATGGCTGGACAAGCTACAAGTGGTCAAGGCCAAAGTTACCTTTCCTTTAACCTACTGATCTCAAAATCTAAAGGGTCATCTACAACTCATGACCAACCTCCATATTAATATTAAGAATGTGGACCAAATGGTACTTTAGTTATTTGTCAAAGCTATGGTGACCTTAACCTTTCACCTAATGACCTCAAAATCAATAGGAGTCATCTAATAGCCATGGGTTATGTCCCTATTGTGTAACATAAACAAGGGCTTATTCATTCTTAAGTTGCTGACTCCATCTCACAATAAAGATATAAACCAATATTTCGCTCACATATGATGGACATGTAGCCTTTGATAGTGAAACATGACTACAAATAGCCATTGACCTTATGTAAAAAGCAGCAAGATGACCTTCAGTGGCGCATGACCTTCACCAAAACAGCAAAAAAATATTTCAGTTGCAAAGCAATTCACACTTGCAGTGTCAACCTTACTGTTAAATAACATATATCAAAAAGGCAGCATTACCTCCAACTCGCCTTTACTAAATCCTGGGAAAATGACTGGCTCATCCATCTTAGAGGTGTCCCTGACAGTGTATGTAGAATCATCTATCTCCACCATTATATCATTACGTAAGTTGATCAGAACCACATGGGTATGCTTCACTTTCAAGTTTAACAAGTGGTTCACAACTTTGGACAAACCCTAGAAACAACAGTAAATAATGTAACATTGTAAAACCCCTTTTGTAACTTTCAATTATGACAATAAATACACCTCTTAAAAATTAAAATTTTATATTTTTGGAAAGTGATAATTCAAATACAATGTATTAACAAATCACAGATATAAAATATACAAAATGCAAATGAATGGTTAATTTTAGAACATCAAAGTCCAGCTAGTGCAGGACAACCTGGCTCTTAGTGATTACACTCAGGTCTGCCATTACTATTTCTAGCTTTCTTTTGTTGACAACATTATTTACACCTGTATAAAATGCAAAATGAAATTCAAATATTTAATTTACAACCAGCCAGTAAATTACTGGAGAAATCTCTAATATATTTATGTCACACAGCAATATCTAAATTCTAACAATAGAATTCAAAGAGGCTCTGTTCAGTTCATACAGTAACTTTCAAGCATTATTCATGATGGAAGACCCCAGGTGCTGATTTGCTGGAAAAAAAATTCATTTCATTTAGAACCACTGATTTTTCAAAAGTTAGATATATCTTTCAATACATTTTGATGAAACATCCTCCAAAGTCATTTAAAAAAACAACAACAATAAAAAATCAATTAAGAAAGTTATACTAACATCAGCAGCTGGCTGTGCCATACCATATACAGGGATTTCTTTCAGATTTATTTTTCGGAAATTTGCAACTCTAACATCCATCTGAGAACCCATTAGGTCCAGGCCTACATAGTTATCCGATACCTGGTTAGAACAAATACACAATGGTTATAAAGTTGTGGTCAAACCTATTTACAAATAGACTAATCCGGAATATAGAATATTTGGGTTTTCCTCAGCTAATCTGTAGGTACAAACAAATTTTAACAGTTACAGCTTCGAAAATAAGCGCAACAGGTTTACTAATATATTGTGACCTATCGTGCATCATAATGCGATAACGGTAAAAGTTTGATTGTACCAGGGGATTAGCTGGAAAAACCCCAACATTTGTCGAGTTCCGGATATCATCTATACAACAATGGATAGAGAAAAACAGAATAATGATCTATATTAAAACAGAAATATAGTATCAAAAAGTTTTGTCTACTATATTATGCCAAAGAGATATTAATCATTAATTTCTGTAGAACAAGTTTAATTTTTTTCTTTCCTTTACTTTTTTTTAATATTCATAGCAGACAGATTTAATATTTCAAATGAATGATTAAAACTTTAAGTGAAAAAAGAGCTTTTGTTTCCTTCCTATAAAGAAAATTAGCATTTCATATACGTAGTAAAAGCTTTTATTTCTTATAAATAATGGTGAGAAATTTCCATAATTTCCATAATTTTATGAACAAATTTCTACTCTAACCAATATATTTCAAAATGTTATCAAAATTTGCCAAAGAAGATCTTCACACTTACCAAGCAGTGTTGTCCAGAATCGAGCCTGGAGTAACTGCTGTTGTTTATAGGCAGAAACATCGTACATCGTAGATGGTTCAGTTCTGGATGACGATTCATCCATTTTGTAAAACCAACCATAAATTGATTATCATACTGAAATAATAAAATATTCATTTATTTAATCTGACTTTTTAATCAAAACATAATATTCTTATTTGCTGCAACACAACAAAAAAAAATTGGCATAAGAATTTTAAACATGTCATAAAACCTTTCAATGTTCATTTACAATAAAGTCCAAAACATATCTAATATCAAGAATTTTAATACAAAAATAACTAAGAAACACTAAAATTAAATAGCAACAAATCTAACCAATTTGGCATCATTCATGACGGAAAGCCACCTATATTTGTATGCAATTGCTAAATATTTGAAAATTTAAAATGTTTCCACAATATCTCCTGTGCAAATAGGCAACATTAGAAGCATCCTTAAATAAGATGTATTCCACAGTAGGTTAAGCTACAGATTCTAAATGGTATTAACAACAAGGTCAAAGTCCATCAAGGAACAACTGGCTTATGAACCGGACATGAAAAAAGAACTCAATTTTAGGCCTTTGACCTCAGTGAAGCCTACCATTGACCTATACGCACAACATTATAGTCTCATGCTGGTGAACATTTGTGAAAAGTGTTTTAGAATTCATCGAATAATGAAATATAAATGAACCATTTATGAAAACAGACTCCATTCTAAGCATTTGATTTTGATTTTTTTGTGACCTTAACCTTGGTGCTACAGACCTTGATCTTGTGCACAACACATTGTCTTATGAAAATATTTTGTTTACTTTACTAATTGATACCATTTCAAAATAAACCAAATTTAGAATTTGACAGAGACATTAATGTTTTCATAATACCCATCAATGGATCAAATATATTTTAACATTCCATATGAGAGAATTTCTCTGTTTTTGTAAGACACCAACTGTTAGTTGACATTTTAAAAAGGTTCTTCACCTCTTAAATAATTGATCATCATGATGGTTGGTTAATGAACAATGGATGGTGTTAATGAACTATTGTTCAGAATATCTCTGCTGTGTAAATGGCAAGTCAAGAAAAGCAAAATGCACTTCAGTATTTGAGAACATGATGTTGCAAGTCACTGATTTAATACTACCAACACCATACAGAATTAAGCAGAAATATTTTTCCTCTAATTCTATTAATATTGCTTCTTTAAGAAACAAAACAAAAACATTTTTTCTCCTAAGAATTCTATCAATGTCTTGACAAAGCAAGAGGCAAGCAAGACTTCTCTAGCAGGAGAATGTATGTTCAAATACTCAAATTCTCACAGGAGTTTGTGTAAACACTGGTATCATTTCATTATCAGCAGAATAAATATTAGCCTTTGTCTAAAACTGATTGAATTAGTTCTCTAAAGAATGATTGATGTGGTGGTAAACATAGCCTTTTTTATTGAGGAGAAATTCAATGATAGTGGAGGAGAGTTATGAAATATTCAGGTCAACAATTTACCTGAAGTACTTGCCATAAAAAGGATTGATTAAAAGGCTGATGTCACAGTGTATAGAAAATATTTTTTGTAACATATGACATTATTACTTTCAGAGAAGATTTAGATCTGTTTTCAGATGCACTTTATAATAAGTTGTGCCAGATAATAGAAAAAAACTAGGCTTTAAAGTTGGCTATTTAAAAATAAATTACAAGAGTTTTGCATAAATTATAGCAAATAGGTATATGATTTTATCACAAAACAGTTTTGCACAATCAGCATTTTTAATGGCTGAAGTATCATAGACTGTGACTTTTCAAGCAATATAAGTGAAGGACTTTGATGCCAAACAATCTATTATTCTAGTACTGAATTCACACCCCAAAGGATCAAAATTATAATCAACATAAGCAGATGAATCATTTGTTAAATTTCTGGTGTCTTTTGCTTGGGTTTTAAGTCAGGCCAAAACTGTTAAGATCATATAGCTAATTTCTAGCTATATTGGAAGAAAAAAACATTACTGATTTCATTACCAATATGACTTCAGGCACAGTCACATGAAAAAAACTGAGAGCCACTGACTGTATGTAAGCCTGCTGGATAGCTTGAATCCTCACATGTAATCATTTAATTGTCTTTACTCAGGATTTGAACCAATAGTAAATAGAAACAAGTGTGTTTGAAAGTTTGTTACCACTTGACCATTTTTGGAATATCAAACAGAAATAAATGCTGGCTTTAAAGGGATACTCAGGCAAATAAATGGCAAAAATATTAAAATGATCTAATGTACTCAAATCATGCTAAAATGACATCTTTTAAAGTCCCAGCATGAATTTCTGTTTAAATTCTATATATTTTGTGTTTGAAGCGTAAATATATCAATATATGTTGAACGAAATTTAGACCCCTACAGAATCACCGAGTGGTTTTAAAACAAGTCATGTGACTTGTACAAACCCTGGATGTTACAATAACAGATATTGTGGATATTGTATAATTGAAACAAGTCTAAAGCATTCATTTGACATGTTCTTTAATGTTTCCAGAGTTCACTGTTACAACTATTGTGAAATCTTAACGCTGTAACCTGACTCACGTGGGTCAGGTTAGGAAACCACCATTTTATTCTTTATAAGTACAAAAGTTTTGTCCCTGTGACTGCCTAGTGTATACATTTTCAGGACATATACAAAATAATGAATGAAAATATCAAAACAAAGAAATGAAAATTTTGCCTGTGTCTCCCTTTAAGAATAAATTAAATTAACTGATGTTAAATACATTACCTGATCACAGAGATAGGCATTGAAGCAAATTAAAAAGAAATATCTGCTAAGATAGTTCACACACTTTCTGTATTGAGCCAATATATCATTCTCACTCTGAAAGGCAAAACCCTGAAAATAAAGAAAATAAATGAATGAAATGATGTCAATATGTTCCATTACCAGGAAAACATACAGCATTGTTTCTTTAGTTTTATACAAGTTTTTGCCAGGGTGAAAAATGTTTTGTAAGGAAGAAACATTTTTTGTAAGGAAGGAAAATGAGAAGGTTTTTTTTAACCAAAATGACAGTGCTTGGCACAATCATGATTGCTAAGTTTTAAATAAATACTTTTACTAGATTCAATTATTTTCAAAAATCCCTGCCACAGCCAACAAGATTTGTACAAAATCTTGTGCATACATGTGTTAGTCATCTAAATGATATATTATTAAACTATAGTATATTAACACTACTGTACAGTATACAAAATATATTTCTTGTAAATAATGTTCACTGTTCAATTAATTTTACATGTTTCCTAGTCATAACTTTGTTGTTTTTGTTTATGTATTGTATATTTATAGTAAAAATTCAATCCTAATAATGATGTAAAGTCAATGGTACAACTCCTCCATAAAATATATTAGAAAGATTTTATTATAATTGTTTCATACCAAGTTGAAGAAAAGGACAAAAGTTATTACAACATGGAACATTCACCATACTTTTATCTACTTTTATAAATTAAATTTGTCTGCATTTTACAAGCTAGACTACTGAAGACATTTTTTCCCACTACCAAGTTTTTTTCATTCACTTATAAACTTTTCTATTTGTCAAAAAGAATTATCACAAACAAATTTAATCCAATAGAACTGATGTACCATCACATAATCAAATTTTAAAGGTTACTTGCGGAGACAGATTTTCTAAGATATAAGTATTTATTCGGTTATCAATCAGTGTATCTGGCTAGGATACAACAAGACATTATCTCAGTATAAAGATACAGAATTAACAGTATAAATTGTTTGCCATTTGTCTACAAGTCACATTTTATATAGCAATATCTTCTCCCAGACTGACAAATGATTCAAGGATTCAAAATAGACAATACTTGATGTATTACTTCATTGTAAACAAATACAAGGAAGAGGAATCTTCGACTAAACAGGTTGTTTTTATTACTTTGACCTTCAACCCTGACCTTCCATGTTTTCATGACACAATAGGTATTAAACCTTGAAATTATAAATTGACATTGAACTTGTTTAACTATTTGATCTTGAACTTGAAAATCTAATTTACAACAAACTAAAAAATTCAAATATTTACATTAAACATTATATCTATAACTGGCCTTGACTTTAATTTTATTTGACCTTCAACCTGATGTTTCAATCTGTCTTTAACTAAAACTTTCATTTAAACTTTTGACCAACTGAATGTCGAAACCAAAAGTTCCTCTATTTAATTCATGATAATTAAATATCTAGTAACTATGAAAAACATGTGCAGTTGATCATTCAAATCAATCTACTTGTTATCTTGACTTGTGATCAAGTGACTTTTTTCATATAAATTATTAATAAACTATGCTTATTATCTTATATCTATTAGTCTCTATAGGTTCAATTTTGAAAAACCTACTGAAAAATTCATGTAAAATTATGAGTGTACTTTACAATGTTTCACTTTGTTACAAGAAAAATATTATTTTGCAATCCTTTTAAAACTAGAGGATGCTTTTGTAAAAAAGCGCATGTCTCCCCCACTGCTGAGAATAACTGTGAATGGAAACAGGAATGGAACTGGAGAAATCCGGAAATGAGAAAATGACCAATGGTCACTGTGACCTTAACCTTTGACCTACTGACCCCATAAACAAGAGGGATCATCTGCTCAATAAGACCAATCATCCTATGAAGTTTGAGGGTTGTAGGTCTAAAGGAACTCTAGTTATCATCCGGAAAGGAGAAATTAACCAACGGTCGCTGTGACCTTGACCTTTGACCTACTGACCATTAAAACAATAGGGATCATTTGATTAATAAGACCAATCATCCTATGAAGTTTGAGGGTTGTAGGTCAAAAGGAACTCTAGTTATCATCCGGAAATGAGAAATTGACCAACGGTCACTGTGACCTTGACCTTTGACCTACTGACCCCAAAAAACAATAGGGATCATCTGCTCTATAAGACCAATCATCCTATGAAGTTTGAGGGCTGTAGGTCAAAAGGAACTCTAGTTATCATCCGGAAACGAGAAATTGACCAACGGTCACTGTGACCTTGACCTTTGAACTACTGACCCCAAAAACAATAGGGATCATCTGCTCAATAAGACCAATCATCCTATGAAGTTTGAGGTCTGTAGGTCTAAAGGAACTCTAGTTATCATCCGGAAACGAGAAATTGACCAACGGTCAGTGTGACCTTGACCTTTGACCTACTGACCCCAAAAACAATAGGGATCATCAGCTCTATAAGACCAATCATCCTATGAAGTTTGAGGGCTGTAGGTCAAAAGGAACTCTAGTTATCGTCCGGAAACGAAGAATGGACGGACTGACGGACGGACGGACTGACGGACGGACAGGGCAAAAACAATATGTCTCCCCCCGAGGTGGGGGAGACATAATTATATTAATAAGCTTTTAAAAATATCCAGGTCATCAGGGTACATAAGTATGACATAATTTCAAAGTAAAATTAATCTTGACCCTCCCCATCACCCCAAAAAAAATTTCAAATAAAGATAAATACATTGATTTGTATTCTTAAAAGTTTTAAAATAATCTAGTAAAATAGCAGACAAAAGTAAGGCTTTGTATTATCCACTTTCAGGATCTTCTAGAGCTGTCAAAAGGCTTTTTGCCCATCTTGTCTGTGGTAGCAGAAGTGCGATAAAATTTGAAAGTGCAACTTAATCAGTTTACATAAAACTATCAATCATGACAGAAAGAAAAACACACATTCTAAAATCATCATCCGATAGTTACATTATACAATCGGGCATTATAAACTCATCGTAAACTATTAACATTAACACTTTAATAACAAGAGCACCGCTAGGCGGAGCATTATATGCCCGAAAGTGTTTTTTTTTTAGTAAGGATGAAGCATTTGTAAGACATGGGAATTCGCTGTTCATCCTATAAAATTTTACAGCTGTAGGTTGATTAATACTTAAGTTATTTATAATGACCTTAACCTTTGACCTTGTGACCCCAAAATCATTAGGAGTCTTCTACCTTATATGGACAATCATCCTAAGAAGTTTGAACACTGGCAGCCAAATGGACCTTAAATTATGCTCCGGAAACTGTTTTCAGTTTTAAGGTCATAGTGACCTTGACCTTTGACCTTGTGACCCCAAAATCAATAGGGGTCTTCTACCCAATATGGCCAATCATCCTATGAAGTTTGAATATTGTGGGCCAAATGGAACTTACGTTATGCTCCGGAAATTGTTTTTGGTTTTAAGGTAATTGTGACCTTGACCTTTGACCTTGTGACCCCAAAATCAATAGGGGTCTTTTGCCCAATATGGACAATCATCCTATGAAGTTTGAATATTGTGGGCCAAATGGAACTTAAGTTAAGCTCCGGAAACTGTGTTCAGTTTTAAGGATATAGTGGCCTTTGACCCTTGACATTTTGACCCCAAAATCAATAGGGTCATCTACCCAATATGGACAATCATCCTATGAAGTTTGAACACTGTGGGCCAAATGGAACTTAAGTTATGCTCCGGAAACTGTTTCCAGTATCAAGGTAATAGTGACCTTGACCTTTGACCTTGTGACCCCAAAATCAATAGGGTTCTTCTACCCCAATATGGCCAATTATCCTATGAAGTTTGAATATTGTGGGTCAATTGGAACTTAAGTTATGCTCCGAAACTGTTTCCAGTATCAAGGTCATAGTGACCTTGACCTTTGACCTTTTGACCCCAAAATCAATAGGGGTCTTCTACCCACTATGGACAATCATCCTATCAAGTTTGAACATTGTGGGTCAATTGGAACTTAAGTTATGCTCCGGAAACTGTTTTCAGTATCAAGGTAATAGTGACCTTGACCTTTGACCTTTTGACCCCAAAATCAATAGGGGTCTTCAACCCAATATGGACAATCATCCTATGAAGTTTGAACATTGTGGGTCGAATGGAACTTAAGTTATGCTCCGGAAACTGTTTTCAGTTTTAAGGTCATAGTGACCTTGACCTTTGACCTTTTGACCCCAAAATCAATAGGGGTCTTCTACCCAATATGGACAATCATCCTATGAAGTTTGAACATTGTGGGCCAAATGGAACTTAAGTTATGCTCCGGAAACCAAATTGCTAACGGACGGACGTACGGACGGACAGACGGACGGACGGACAGACAGACGGACACCAGGGGGTATAACATTATATGCCCTTTCGGGCATATAACAAAATGTGTCAATAATCACTAATGAAAAAATATCAAACAAAAAATTCTAGAACATGTGCTCCCAGTAAAATCTTTGCAAAATTCCACTGCAAGCTTACAGAAAATAATTATTATTATTATGTCAATAAATAATTGCTACAATTATAGTTTGATTCTTATGCATAAACAAAATTAATGTATCTGTTATCAGGGACTATTTTTTTCTCCAGGGTACAAATAAAGATTCATGTGCACTACTCTTAACATTGGAGTGATCAACACATTGCCCTTATAGCATGAATTCAGCATTTTCATCATATTTAAATACAATATTAATTTGAGAGTACAATAGATACACATTGCGGAAATGTCAACTTATTACATATCATGTTACAAATTATTTATCAAATTTCAACTTGTTGTCAATACAACATAAAATCCCCATTTCTAAAGGCAGTTGTTACTGTGGTATGTATAAATCTAATGCTAAACCAATAAAGTAAATACATACAGCATCATGATCTGCTTGCATTTCTACCAGTTTTTTCTTTGCAATCATGATCTCTGTTCTCAAGTTGTGTGTTGTGCAACAGTTATCAATTGCCATGTCAACCTGAAAGTAACAAATTTTTACATTGCATTTTAAATACCGCGGGTGTGATGTGGTTAACGTGTCAGACTAGTAATCTAAGGATTGCTGGTTGCGTGGGTTCAATCGCTGTCTGAGACAAGCCTTTGTTTCTGTGAGCAATAAACTGCATGTCTGTTGCCATGCCTTAATCAGCATTTTGAGAATGATATCAGTTTCTGTATAAAAACTGAAAACATGAATATTGCAATAGTTCATTTTTATAATAGATCTTGGGAACAAAACCTTTGAAAACGGCAATGAAAGTTTTGAAAAATAAATAAAAAAACAAATATGGCATCAAGTATATGTGTTACAATATCATAAAATATTGCATTGAATATATATATTAAAAACAATACACTCTCATTCAGTTCATAAAATTGTATTGGCCATGTGCATGACATAAATATAAACAAAGTTTCCTTTTATTTTGTCAACCTTGATAAAATATTAATGACAGAACTGTATCGTAGAGAATTTCTTATGTTAGGAAAACTGATCCTACTAATTACTGTCATAGTTTAAGATTCCTAAGATATCTCAGCAGGGATTGTAACTAACTTGTTCCTATTAACATTACAAAAGTGTTAGTATGAATATGATTTATCTATCAATACTTAGATTAATGTAGTCTTTTCTTTTCTTAATTCTGTAATATCGTAAATGTCTCTTGGGATTATCTACAACAAAAACAAATTGCAAAATGTAGAGCAAAATGAAAAATCCCATATGTTTCATAATTTTCATAAGTCTTTAAGCCCCAGTGTCATTTATATCTAGGTTTTAAATACCACCTTATTTATGCATTGAAAACCACACACTTTTTTGAACTCTCACAGTTAAATATTAGAATCTCAATACATCAATCATGGCTAAACATGGCTTTACATTATCTATCATGGTTTTATACCTCATTATTTACATACATCCTTGTGGCTAAACATACATTGTAGGATACATTGAACATTACTGCTATACATGCATCAAGTACTGCTATACATGCATCCAGTACAGCTATACATGCATCTAATAGGCTATACATGCATCCAGTATGGCTATACATACATCCAGTACAGCTATACATACATCCAGTATGGCTATACATACATCCAGTACAGCTATACATACATCCAGTATGGCTATACATACATCCAGTATGGCTATACATACATCCAGTACAGCTATACATACATCCAGTATGGCTATACATACATCCAGTATGGCTATACATGCATCCAGTATGGCTATACATACATCCAGTATGGCTATACATACATCCAGTACAGCTATACATACATCCAGTACAGCTATAAATACATCCAGTATGGCTATACATAGATCCAGTATGGCTATACATACATCCAGTATGGCTATACATACATCCAGTATGGCTATACATGCATTCATTAAGAGAATTTAAATGACAACTGGTGTTAGTAAAATTCATAGTTAAAATGAAATTTATCATGATATTAATATGAATATTTATCAAATATTTATTTTTTAATAATAACAGCATTACTGTATGCTCTATGCTTATCGATCAATCAGTTGTCAGTTGTACCCCAATGTTAGACCCCTTATCTAGTCTGCACTTGCTGGTCCTGTTATATTTTTTCCAAGATTTCATATTATCAGAATAAACACAAGAACCGGTTGAACCGGGTGATGCTCCACGAGAAGGTTCTGGACACAGGAAAGTATAAAAAATGAACAAAGGGCAAAAACTCCAAAATTAGGCAAGGCGGAGTTATGTTTTTTGCACTGCACTTCTATTCAATAAGATCTATCTATCTATTAAGTTTCCTGATGATATCATAGTTATGTCCCGGGTAAAATTCAAAGTGTAAAAATGAACAAAGGGCAATAACTCAAAAAATTAGTTTAGGCTTTGTTTAGGTTCTTTAAGCATTGCAGTTCTATCCAATTATATCTAGCTACCTACAATGTTTCATGTTGATATCTCTAATAGTTTTAAAGTTATGCCCCAGACAAAAGTCAAAAAGTAAAAATAAACAAAGGGCAATTACTTCAAAATAAGGCAAGGCAGAGTAATGATTCTTAAGCACTGCACTTCCACCCAATGAGACCTATCTATCTACAAAGTTTCATGTTGATATCTCTTATAATTTTAGAGTTATGTCCCGGACAAAGTTCAAATTGTCAAAATGAACAAAGGGCAATAACTCCAAAAGTAGGCAAGACAGTGTTACAGTTCTTGTGCACTGCAAACTTACTCAATGAGATCTATCTACCTACAAAGTTTCATGTTGATATCTCTTATACATTTAGAGTTATGTCCCGGACAAAGTTCAAAGTGTAAAAATAAACAAAGGGGGATAATTCAAAAATTAGGCAAGGCAGAGTTAAGGTTCTTGTTCACTGCACACCTACTCAATGAGATCTATCTACCTACAAAGTTTCATGTTGATACCTATTATAGTTTTAGAGTTATGTCCTGGACAAAGTTCAAAGTGTAAAATAAACAAAGGGGGATAATTCAAAAATTAGGCAAGGCAGAGTTACGGTTCTTGTGCACTGCAAACTTACTCAATGAGATCTATCTACCTACAAAGTTTCATGTTGATATCTCTTATACATTTAGAGTTATGTCCCGGACAAAGTTCAAAGTGTAAAAATAAACAAAGGGGGATAATTCAAAAATTAGGCAAGGCAGAGTTAAGGTTCTTGTTCACTGCACACCTACTCAATGAGATCTATCTACCTACAAAGTTTCATGTTGATACCTATTATAGTTTTAGAGTTATGTCCTGGACAAAGTTCAAAGTGTAAAATAAACAAAGGGGGATAATTCAAAAATTAGGCAAGGCAGAGTTACGGTTCTTGTGCACTGCACACCTACTCAATGAGATCTATCTACCTACAAAGTTTCATGTTGATACCTCTTATACTTTTAGAGTTATGTCCCGGACAAAGTTCAAAGTGTAAAAATAAACAAAGGGGAATAATTCAAAAATTAGGCAAGGCAGAGTTATGGTTCTTGTGCACTGCACACCTACTCAATGAGATCTATCTACCTACAAAGTTTCATGTTGATACCTCTTGTTGTAAGGGGACGGACGGAAAGACGGAAGGACAGACGGACAAGGCGGCGACTATATGCTCCCCCGAAATTTTTCCGGGAGCATAAAAACAGATTGTGACTAGTAATTCCTTGTTTTTGAAATATGAGATAAATTACTTCTGAATCAATTTATGAAAGATATGTACAATAACGAATGTTGCAGGTTAAATCAATGATGTTGTGGGATTGTCTTTTGTAGGAGTGGATATTCTCGTCTGTTTGACCCCTCTCCTTTTTCCTTGCATGCCTGCTCAGAAAATAATTACAAGGTATTTATATGGAAATATTATACATTCTAAGTGACTTGTAAGGCTCTAATGATGATAATTATAGTGATTAAATAAACATATCATTTTGTTCCAAAGTAATAATATGTCAGATGATATTTGTTTGTACAAATCTAATGCACACCTAATTATAGACATTCAGAAATCAGTCCATTCACCAAGACCAAGATAATTATAACATGTCAGTATTATTAATTCATGGGGGAAATAGGTATTGAACTAAAACCAAGACAGTAAGCCCAATTAGTGCAAAAAGCATTTACGAATGACTGACAAAAACTAGTACCCATGTACTACATTATTTTGACATTGACCTTCACCTTCAATCTGATATCCTGGCTTATATGTGAGACAAGTTTTCCTCATGTGCCACAAAATTATACCTTAGTTATTTCAAAATCCCTTCAAAAAATTTTTTTTTTCATTTTTAATTTGAAATCATCTTAACAATATCATATGAATGGTTTAATTCATATAATGTATTTCTGTAATTATTGTGATGCGTTAAAGCCATTCTGAGATCATGATCACGACAAAATTATAGGTCGAGTATGCATTAAAACGTCATTGTAAATCAATTGCATGCACTCATTTTGGTATAATGTTGTAATTATTATTCCGCGATTAAATCATAAAAATGTTGTCATTTTCGATTCCAAAAATTACTGAACAAAGTATAAATGTTACTTTTGTTAGAACTGGCATGTGAATTATCATGTCAGAATGTTTCAAACATTAAGATAATTTTTTAATATTAGCGATGTGTTCAATTTGCAATAAAGCAAAGAAAAAATCTACAGTGCATGTACCCCTCGGCAAAGAACCCCTCCAACACTTATTTACTGATGGACTTAAGGAACTCCCCTAAAATTACATGTTCCATTTCTATCATTATTCATTTGATTATTACTTAAATTTTCTGGGCAACCTTGATTATTAATTTAGTGTTTCAGACTTTTTTGTACTGTACTTCAAATGAATTTTAAAGTGGTCTACAATTTGCACATTTTCAACAAGTATTCCAAGTACAGTATTAATGAAAAATATAAAAATTATCATATGGATATTGTCATAAATATCGCTTGCAAATATTGTTGATGAAGCTTTAAAAGATTTAGTATGAACATTAAAATATGATGCAAAATAATATTTTGTTCTGGAACAATTTATTGGCTGCTATATGATTATAATATTATATTTGTAATATTGGATCATGTATCTCACAATTGCAAACAACATTCATATATAATTCTTTCATGGTTTGTTGTAATGTTTAATACTTAATACTATCAACATGATAATGTTTACATTATAGACCAATCCACTTTAATCATTGTAACATGTTCTTTGGTAAATTGGCGTTAATTAATCAGTCTAGCCAATCTATTGTTTATAGATATAAAAATAATTTCAAATACTCGATTGACAAGCATGAATTAGGAAGAATTTACAAAACTAAATTGGTCAAGATTTATTTAATTTTCAAAAATGCTTACTGGTAAGAAATGAATACAACTTACCTAAATAATGTAAAATTTTAACTTTTCATAACAGTAAATTTTAACAGAGGGACATGATATTTCTACTATCCAATAAAATAGACATGTTACAGAGATGGTTCGTTCATTACTTAAATGCAGTAGCTACTATTACTTTAAGGCATATCAAATATATAACTGAAAATGTCACACAGCAAATTGAGTAGCTGCAGACAGACAATCTGATTCCTATTTTGATATGCATCATTTAATATAACTGGGATGTATGGTAAAGCATTGTCTGCATTAATTTGTCACAATTCTGTTTGGTGTCCAATAAATTGATAAATTTTCAATATGCTAGAATACAATAATGACAGGCTAAAATAGATCACAAGTAGAGATCTAGTCTGTAGAGTCTCTTTAACTAGAGAGTCTATAAGGTTTACAATCATAGGCTTTTTTCCAGTACTAGAAGAGGATCTAGAACTCAGCTGCCCCTATGTGCATTGTTTCAGATAAAAGAGTGCACCAGAACTGAACCACAAACCCATATAAGGCTAGCCAGATAGTTTCCTTCTGACTTGCTATTTTAACTTGCCCCTGACAGGGTTTGAACCCATGTGGCTGGCAATCATTAAATTTCAAGTCAAACGCGTTAACAACTTGGCCATGCTGCAACATCCATCAAAATAAGTACTGACTGAAAAGCAAACAGTGCAGACCATCATCAGACAACACCTGGGATTGTAAAAATTTATTCAGAGCCTGCAGTTTAAGTAGGTACTAAATTCTACAAGATGGCTACAATTTTTGTTGCTTGACTGTCGGCAATTACTCAAAAATAAGAGTGGACACTCCCTGCTGCATGGATGTGTTGGCTGATCTTGGTCTGCAATGGTTGCAAACTTGCAAGGGTCAAGGTTTAAATTAACAAGGACATTTTCTAAAATCAATGCAAGTAAAGTCTATTACATAAAGTCAGTAGTAAATGGAGAGAGATATTGTCTGTTTCAATTTTATTAGAATTCTGATTGTCATGCAATAAAACAATTAAAATCTCCATGCAGAGAAAACAAGCATATTAATTCAAACAAAAATAGTTTTGTAGGCACATGTTTCTATTGTCATAACAAACAATGTTCATTTTTTTTTGTTCTACATTTAAATAAAATAAGACAAAAAGTTGTGGCAAAGATTGATTCTCTCAAGGGGAGTTTTAAAACAAGTCAGCTGTCACACTGCCAGCCATGTAAACAAACTGATAATACTTCTTTGGATGAAAATATAAGTGGCACAGGAGGTGAATCAGTGGGATATATCACATGAAATCCGAGTATTGCATAATTATATTTAAATAGTAACTGACTGACTGGTGTGTATTATTTCTTTAAATGTATCAAATAATACTGATCTACTGATAACACAATAACTTACAACTACTACATGTTTTTATTTCCGAGATTACATAATCATTTTCTAAAGATTTCATTCCATACAAATACAGACATGAGCTGTCATATAAGAACTATAGATAAAAGCAATGGTGAGAGACACCATACTAAACATGGTGAGTCTATCAAGGTAAATAAATGCCAGATATTTCTAGATGTTAAAAAAAAGGGGAATATTTCAGAAAAAAAAATCCAAACTATAAGTATCCTGCAATCATGATGGAAAAAAAATGTTGTGAAGTTTCTAGCAAATATCTTTAATACTTGACAAGAAATGGCCACAATGCTTGTCCTATATTTTGACCTTACCTGATGTTTAATGGTGTTGCCATTGTCAAGCAGGGACACAAGCTTTGTAATGGCTCTAAAATAGCCCTGTTCTTGTAGATCAGTTTCTGTCATTCTATTGTGCCTAGACGCTGCAGAACTGGGTCTGAAAAGAATTCAGAACAAATTAAATGTGTATTTGACAAAAATGTAAATTCAAAGTAAATCCAGGTTATCTGCTCTATGTTATCCTGAAAGCGAGAACTAAATCTATCCATAAAAACAGAGCAGACCAAGATCAGCCAGCACATTCATGCTTTCTGACTATGGTCTGCACTGTTTGATACTCAGTCAGTACTTATTTTAAAATTCTCCCATAAAATGAAATTTTCCCTACTAAGTTAAGATTTTAACTCAAGTTGCCAAAAAATAAAGAATAAATAATACACATCATTTTTGTTTTAATGTATAACAGTTACTTCTATAGAATTCATTCTAGCAGCACTTGTTTCATTGCTGATTGTTCACATATGTATATATTATTGTGCAATAGGCCGAACAGGAGTAAGTATTCAATCTGTAATAGAGGCTTGAACCTTGTTATCATTAGCAGACATCTACTGAGCTATTCAATTCTCAGACATACTTATTTAGATGCATGAATAAATAGGGAGAATTGTACATATTGTCCCATACAATCAAAAGTCAGCCGGTGCATCCAAATAAAATGTCTAATCAGCCACAGAACAATCTGTCATTTCCACAAAGTCGCCACTATCATTCCAAAATTAGCCAAAACCGCAGTGATGATCAAACAAGATTAATGAATTTGCTTCATCAAGCCTTTAACTGACAATGCTAACAAAAAACCACGCAACAACAGACTGCTGCCCACTATATTAGATCTTCTAATCCACAAATGGGATGACTTCACATCTATCTTTTATGTACCAGTCTGCTTTAAAAGCATCTTCTATTTCCTTTGGGATGATGTTCCAATATATCTAAAAGCACCCTATTCTATAATTAAATGTCTAAATATTCATCAGTGTGGAGACTGTAGCTAGAGACTGTGGCTGTGTTCATTCATTAATCAAGGTGTGTGCTGTCTCACTGATCATTACCTAGGGGCTTATTCATAAGAAACCATAAACAAAATAAAAAATTTCCCAACTCCAGACGAAAAAAATATGAAGACAAAAAATCATTTAAATATTGCTATTATTATAATTGTTGTTGTGATGGTAGTGAAAGTAACTTTGTATTAATATGCATCTTTTATCAGCCAGAAAAAACTAAAACCATCCTTATTTCTTGCCAAGTGTGCCCCAAAAACAGCATTTCACACTGTTAAATTATGATCAAGGTTACAGTCATGGCAATATTTTGCAGCCTTAACATTTTGCCATGTTTTATATTTGACTCAATGTTGCTTCCTCATAAGCAACAAAAAAATTTTTTTTTTAACTTTCATTTTAATTAAATTAGCACTAATATTACCTCCGTTTTGTGGTGTCTGCATCTTTTTGTGCCAGCAGTAGATATCCCATCACAGCACCAACATTGACACGTCCCACACCTTTCTCACCTGTAAATAACATTGCTGGCTGGGCAGTGTCTTTAGATGACAAGTACGAATCCTAAAATAATATAACATAAATTCAATTTTAGATACCATCTAACAGTCAACCAAGCACTTCCCAACCCTTACTCCTCCAAATATATCCATCATTAACATAAATGAACCTATCTTCAGGGGAGCAATGGCCTATTAATGGCCCATCTCTTTAGCAAGTTTGGCAAGGTAGGTTCAGGGGAGCAATGAACTTATGGTCTATATCTTTAGCAAGTTAGACATGTTGGTTTCAGGTGAGCAATGACCTAATGTTCCATCTCTATAGCAAGTTAGGCATGGTGGGTTCAAGGAAGCAATAGCCTAATGGTCCATCTCTTAAGGAAGTTAGGCATGATGGTTTTCAGGTGAGCAATGACCTAATGTTCCATCTCTATAGCAAGTTAGGCATGGTGGGTTCAAGGAAGCATAATAGCCTAATGGTCCATCTCTTAAGGAAGTTAGGCATGGTGGTTTCAGGTGAGCAATGACCTAATGTTCCATCTCTATAGCAAGTTAGGCATGGTGGTTTCAGGTGAGCAATGACCTAATGTTCCATCTCTATAGCAAGTTAGGCATGGTGGGTTCAGGGGAGCAATGGCCTAATGTTCCATCTCTTTAGCAAGTTAGGCATGGTGGTTTCAGGTGAGCAATGACCTAATGGTCCATCTCTATAGCAAGTTAGGCATGGTGGTTTCAGGTGAGCAATGACCTAATGGTCCATCTCTATAGCAAGTTAGGCATTTTCTATAAAAATTAAAATTATTATTATTCTTTATTGAGCGATTGGAATATTGTTTACGTAAAAAGCTGTGATCTGAGATTACCTGAAATATAGGTTAAAGTTAAGACATTTTTAACAAGGATTCTATTTTAACATCCCTTTTATAAATCACATGATCTCATGTGCATTAAATACTAAGTAGATCACTTCATACAAGTATTTGAATAATTATCATGTTATGCAAACGTCGAGACATTAAAGGAACATTAATTCATTTGCTTCCACACGGTAGAAGATATTCTGCCATATCTAAAATTGTTTCATGTCATCTTATGACATTGAATGATCATTAATTCATCATTTATAATAAACATTCAATCAATTTCTATGAAGTAATATCATACAAGAATTCTAGAGCTGGCACTCATAGCTAAAGATTTGATTAATGGCTATCACAGAAATCTCTGAAACAGCATCCTGGTATTTTCAGACATACTAGGCTCTATAGTTCTGATTTCAAATTTGATGCTAATGTGGCAGTATATGGGGAATTAAATCTTACATTTTACAGTATGTAAATCTAAAAAAAAATCATGAACTCTGGAAATGTTAGTTACAATCTCATGTTTTCTCCCCATTTAAATACATAAAATAATATTTTTTATTATTTCCAAGCAACTAAACTTTATGTCATAATGTTTATGACTAGATAACAACCAGTGAAACAAACTTTTTATGTAGAACTGTTTAAATTTCACATCTATTTCTGATAAAAAGCAGAAAATTTATAATGAATCCATAGTAAGTTTCTCTTGTAAATAAATATGTTTCTTTGTATAATTTATCAGAATTTTGTCATACGTGAGAAAATAAGACAAAATATTTTTATACCATGAGGCATTGGGGACATTAAATAACATTTCCCAGAATTCCCCTTTCTCTGTAATGGCTCATCTTTATACGTGAAAGGATATTGATTCTTTACCATGAAACAAACATAAACCTTTAAACGACAATATATTATTTCCAGAATCATGGGGATCATATCTGTACTTCTTTAAAATTATGCTGTTATACTCTAGTCATAGATTGTACCTGTACTTTTATATTTATCAGTATATGCCATTACTCTAGCTTTTTTGTAACGGATTTGGCCTGCTTTAGACAGTTCGTTCAAGGATTTTCAATACAAAAAAAAGCTGTAACATTGTACAGTCTATAATCAGATTACTTAGATGAGCTGAATGAGGCTGGCCTAGCTCTTGACTGGTGGCAACAACTGATCATTTTCAACACTCTCTGATCTTTCTCTGGAACCAACCAGTACTAAGCAATGAGTGAAAAGTTTCTTGCCTTGCCCCTGACAGGGTTTGAACACAAGCAGCCAGCAATTCTAATAGCTAGAGTACTAGTCTGACAGTCATGTTAACGACTTGGCTATGCCGCCACTGGTTACAATTTAAGCACAAACCGGCGCTTTGAGTAAGACTGTCTTGGCTCTATACTATTGGTGTAGGACATACATTATTATCCCTAGCATTTAAATGGTTATACTTTAATACGACAGTCAGAACAAATTCATTCTATACTTTAATACGACAGTTAGAACAAATTCATTCAACTAGAAAATTGTTATACCTGAGCTATAGAGATGAAATGGTCCACTTCTAAGTCAGGTGGAGCGCCCTCTAGTGGGAAGCAGAGTCTGCGATATCTGAAATTCAAAACAATAATTTTATGTAAAATCATTTTACTCCCTAATTGTAAATGTTAAACACTCATATGTTATCCGAGTTAAATTTTTGTGTATGTATCTTTAATACTGGTTAAGGTATTAGCACCCTAATGCATTACCTCCGCTCTGAAGAGTATTCAAATAGGCTAGAACTACTGTTAACTACATTGAAAATGAGGGACATGGGTTCAATCCCCAGAAGGGCCAACTTTTTTTTTCTTTCTTTTTTTCTTTTAACATTATTTATGTATCTCCCATGTCCCATTTGGAAAGAAAAAAGTGTTTAATTTTGATTTTTTAATTTATATAGGTATTTATTGGCTAAATTATGCTAAATCTAGTAATAAATATGGTACCTGATATTTTCAAAGTGTAATATAATCAAAACTAGACGGTAAAAGTATTTCATATTTTACAAGATCAACCAATATACTTTTTTAAAAATTTAGGGAAACTTTGAAAACAGGCACTCATTTGGGTAAATTTTAATTTTTTTTTAAACTAGAACTGCCACTATCATGGCTTGAATACCCCCGCATACCACTTTGTCAGAATCAACAGTGGCCATTATGAGCTCAAGAACAACCTCCCTGCCAAATCTGAGGTTACTAAGACAGTGCATTGCTAAGTTATGTATTCTACATGCTTCAAATGTGAAAATGTCAAAATCAAATCATTGCAGACACGACATTCTTTAGCAATTGAGAAGAAAAGCTTTTTTTTTGTCAAGGTCCCTGTGACCTTGACCTTTGACCCAGTGACCTCAAAATCAATAGGGGTCACCTTATAGTCATGATCAACATCCATACCAAATATGAAGACTGTGGGTCAAAGGAATCTTAAGTTAATGGGTAGACAAACTTTTTGAAGTCAAAGTCCCTATGACCTTGACCTTTGATCCAGTGACCTCAAAATCAAAAAGGGGTCATCTACTAATCATGATCAACATCCATGCCAAATATGAAGACTGTGGGTCAAAGGAATCTAAAGTTATTGGGTAGACAAAGTTTTTGAAGTCAAAGTCCCTGTGACCTTGACCTTTGACCTAGTGACCTCAAATCAATAGGGGTCATTTACTAATCATGACTAACCTCCATGCCAAATATGACAACTGTAGGTCAAAGGAATCTTAAGTTATTGGGCGGAAAAGCTTTTTGAAGTCAAGGCCCCTGTGACCTTGACCTTTGACCTGGTGACATCAAAATCAATAGGGGTCATCTACTAATCATGACTAACCTCCATGCCAAATATGAAGACTGTTGGTCAAAGGAATCTTAAGTTATTGGGCGGACAAGCCTTTTGAAGTCAAGGCCCCTGTGACCTTGACCTTTGACCAAGTGACCTCAAAATCAATAGGGGTCATCTTCTAATCATGACTAACCTCCATGCCAAATATGAAGACTTAGGGTCAAAGGAATCTTAAGTTATTGGGCGGACAAGCTTTTTGAAGTCAAGGGCCATGTGACCTTGACCTTTGACCTAGTGACCTCAAAATCAATAGGGGTCATCTTCTAATCATGACTAACCTCCATGCCAAATATGAAGACTAAGGGTCAAAGGAATCTTAAGTTATTGGGCGGACAAGCTTTTAGAAGTCGAGGCCCCTGTGACCTTTGACCTAGTGACCTCAAAATCAATAGGGGTCATCTTCTAATCATGACAAACCTCCATGCCAAATATGAAGACTAAGGGTCAAAGGAATCTTAAGTTATTGGGCGGACAAGCTTTTTGAAGTCAAGGCCCCTGTGACCTTGACCTTTGACCTAGTGACCTCAAAATCAATAGGGGTCATCTTCTAATCATGACTAACCTCCATGCCAAATATGAAGACTAAGGGTCAAAGGAATCTTAAGTTATTGGGCGGACAAGCTTTTTGAAGTCAAGGCCCCTGTGACCTTGACCTTTGACCTAGTGACCTCAAAATCAATAGGGGTCATCTACTAATCATGACTAACCTCCATGCCAAATATGAAGACTAAGGGTCAAAGGAATCTTAAGTTATTGGGCGGACAAGCTTTTTGAAGTCAAGGCCCCTGTGACCTTGACCTTTGACCTAGTGACCTCAAAATCAATAGGGGTCATCTACTAATCATGACTAACCTCCATGCCAAATATGAAGACTAAGGGTCAAAGGAATCTTAAGTTATTGGGCGGACAAGAAAAAACCGACGGCCGGACGGACGGCCGGACGGCCGGACGGACGGACAAGCTGATTCCAGTATACCCCCCTTACAACTTTGTTGTGCGGGGGTATAATTAGGCTCCCAAGTAGAAAAATGGTCAGACACGTGGTAAAAATGGGTGGGGTAGGGTAACATTTTTATACAGATTTTAAGTAGAAACCATAATTTTGCTTATTTGGATTGTTAGCTGAATGGTACTATTTGTTTCTTTCCAAAAATTAATGGGAAAACATTTTTCATTAGAATGTTATTGCAGATTATTTAAAGGTTCCTACTTTCTAAAAAAGGGCCCTCATAACATCCTAGCTTGAGTTCAGAAAAGTGGCCATAACTTGATTTCCGTACGGTAAACTTTGTTTAAATTTTGCATACAGGTGTACTTTAAGGTATACATCTGACTTATGGTGTCAATTTTTTAGTTCCTGATAGTGCCCATTAGGGTCATAATACCTTAAGAATACATGTATTACCAATTTAATAGCAGTATAATTATTAGTCACAAGGCCAAAAGATTCATTACAAAGGTCATCCACAAAAAATAAAAATCATCAATTCCTAGTATTCAAAGCAAAGAAATTGATTGCCTACTAGCTGAACATCTTGGGGAAAATGGGACTCCACTGAATTTTTAACATGACAAGACTGGAGATATTTTTCCCTAAGATTTCTGTACCATTTTATGTAGGTCTTGATGCACATCTGACAGATCAATCTCTCACCCTGCTTATCCAGAATTATAATTTCTATTGTTCAAAATGACCAAAAAATCTAAAAGCAGGCTAAGAATCGTACACAAAAAAATTATATTCAATTCAATTTTGAGTTTATATCTTATAATCATTTGTAGATTTTTTCCATTGTTAGTGTTGCACTTGATCTATGTAAGAATTTGAAATTTTTTGTTTTAGGCTATGTTTTTGACCCCAGTAAAGCTCTTTTATAACTTGTTTATGGGTCTTCCCTCTCTTTAAATTTATAATTACATAATCCTTAAAAGTGTAATTTACTATTGAATATCAAACCTTTCATTCAAGCACATTTTAAATATCTAATATTTCAGAGAAAATGTCAATTTTACTGGTTAATTTCCATCAATTTATTTCAAGTAGAAAGCAAACAGAAATGCAGGCTGCCAATAAAACTGAAATTACCCCCTCTGAGTATTTTCAAATTAGTTATTCCGCCTACTTTGATACTTAATTTCAGGCAAAAATATATCGTAAAAATGAAAATTTTAATATCACAGTTAACAAGGGAATTTGTTACTTTGTCAAAGCAAACAAGATATATAACTGGTTTATAAGTAAATTATTGAAATGTTTTTTGAATCTTTTGAGATTTGTCATGTCCATCAAGACTACTTATGTATTTAGAGACTTAAATCTATTGGGATTTGCCATTTCTATTGAGATTTTTCATGTCAATTGGGATTGGCCATGTCTATTGAGATTTGCCATTTCTTTTGAAATTTCTCAAGTTTATCCAGATTGGTTATGTCTATCGAGATTTTTGTCATTTCTTTTGAGATTTGTCATGTCTATTGAGATTTGTCATGTCTATTGAGATTTATCATGTCAATAAAGATTAGCTATGTCTATTGAGATTTGCCATGTCAATAGAGATTTACCATTTCAATTGTGATTTGCCATGTCTATTGAGTTTTTTATGTCTTTTGAGATTTGCCATGTCTATTGAGATTGGCCATTTCTTTTGAAATTTTTCAAGTATATCAAGATTTGCCATGTCAATTGCGATTTGCCATGTCTATTGAGTTTTTTCATGTCTATTGAGATTCAGGCCATCTCTTTTAAAATTTCTCAAGTCTATTTAGATTTGTCATGTCTATTGAGATTTGTCATGTCTATTGCGATGTGTCATTTCTTTATAGATTTGCCATGTCTATTGAGATTTGCCATGTCGAGTTTTTTTTCCATGTCTTTTGAGATTTGCAGTGGGTATTGAGTTTTTTTCATGTCTTTTGAGATTTGCCATATCTATTGAGATTTGCCATATCTATTGAGTTTTTACATGTCTATTGAGATTTGACACATCTATTTATATTTCTTTCTTGTGTCTGTTAAGATCCAGTGCATCTACCGAGGTTTGTCATGTACATGTATAATGAAAATTGATATGATATTTTGATCTATTTGGTCTAAAGAGTGTTATCATTTATATACATGTATAGATATCAATATGTTAATTTTAGATTTGAAATCTACAACATTCTTCTTTGTTTGATGAATGCTATTATGTCTGTTCAATGAGGGTGACATTAAATTTATTGAAATTAAATTTTGTTTTATTTATGATAGCCTGGGTACAACCTGATCACAATTATTGCCTTAAAGAGAATTAATCTCCTATGTATTATTAACTTGTGGTAATGCACTCTTACAATCATGTTTTCAGTCTCACCGGGACTTTTTTTCTTGTTCATTCATTACCTGAAACATGAATGGAGAACAAATCATGTGCTTTAATGCCTGCTTTCAGTAAAATTTTGTTCTTATACAATGAACATCTCAAAATTAGAATCCACCTATTGATTACAGATATCATGGTGTTTTTGTTTTCTTTCTTTTTTTTTAATCATTTGTGAAATAAGATCTAAATCAATTTGTTTCCTATGAGCTAAAAATGTTAATTCTTATTTCTGCTCAGTTCTTATCAAAGGAAGATTTCTCTGTTTAATATATTAACATTACAACTTTTTGATATAATAGTCATGAGAAGCTAATTAAATGGTGGTTAAAATAAGAAATTTTTCAGATAGATCAATATAATCTCTTTAGCACCAGATTTGTTTCAGATAATATAAACATAAGCTACAATTAACACTGTCTACAT